GGACTCTCAAAGAATGTGCTTTTTTACGGCAGAGGACAACAACAACAACAGCAACAACAACAACAGCAACAGCAACAACAATAGTAGCAGTTACACAGCCGTCAATTGCTGCAAGAACAGTATCACTACGGGCGATAGCGGCGGACTGCCTCATCATCAGAAACCCTTCATTCCTCTGGCGTCACCGAGAGGGGTGAATTTGTCATCCTCGCAGATTTCGTCCCGGACGGGGCTGCGTGTGCAGCCACTAGCATCAATTATCACCTTCAGCACGGATAGAGGCACTGGGAAGGAGACAACACAGCTGCGGTCTGAGCAGAAGTTCAAGGAACAGCGAAGACGAGAACTGTACGCCTGGAACGAGCAGCTGCGACTGCAGCGGCAGAGTACTGCGGCGGCGGATGCGGTATAGGCCGTGACCCGCTCTTGACCATCTTGTTCTGCCAAATTTCAAATGCTGAATGCTTTTGTTTTGTTTTCTCCTTCTCTAAGTGTTTTCTGTACTAAGGCATATGTGTGCGTTTTCGTGGGGCGGCATGTTGCTTACATGAAACGCCATCGTTACAGCCATGCTACTGCTTTTTTTCTTTCTTTTGTTTTTTTGTTTTTCTACCTTGGAAAGGGAGAAACGCTTTGTGTATATGTATATATATATATATATATGTGCCACTTCGTTTTATCTTTATTTCTTTTTTGCCCGCGTTTCTTCCTAGACGTTTTTTTTTTTTTTCTTCTTCCTTTTGTTTATTGTTGTTGTTGCTCCAATGACGCTCGCTCAATGTGCTGCGTTGCGTCGGGGACGCACCTCTCTGTAGGTGCGTGTGTTGAAGATATTAGGCCCAACACTGCTGTTTCTTCTTTTTTCTTTTTGCTGTATTTGCTTTTCTCTTTGGCCCGGCGCCATGGATGGTTTCCTGCGTCTATGCCTACATGCCGTGGAGATTCCACCGCGGTGCAGCCGGTTGAGGGAGTGGCTGCCGGCATGACTGCATCCTTCCTGAGCACTGCGGTCAGCTACTTTGACCTGCTTGTCAACAGCGACCCACGGGTGGCGTTTGACGTTCTACACATGGGCGTCCTTGCCGCCATTGAGGAGGACGAGGCTCGTCACCCGCCTGGCCCCACGCCGCGCGCTGCTTCGTTTGCAAAAGCCGTCGTCGTGGGCGAAGGAGCGGACGTGCGCTTTGCCATACCGACGCATCAACCGGCGCTTGACGCGCGACTTCCGCAGCCGCAGGACATTCGCCGCCGTGGATGCGTTTCTTACCTCTGCTTCTCCGTCCGCACTGCAGGACGCGCTGGGGCCAGCGGTGCTGCACGTGGTTCAGAAGTATCGTCCGCAGGTGCTGCGAGAGCGAAGAGAGCGACGACGACGGCTGCAAGAGATGGAATCGTCTACCCCTCACGGCGCGGCGGCAGAGGAAGAAGAGCGCTCCGACGCACCGACTGGCTGATTGGCTGGCTGTGTATACATCTGTGCTTTTGCGACTGATGGAGAGGCGGTCAGGCTGTGTAGGATGTTCTCTGGCTGTCGTTTTCCAAACGCAGTCTTTGACGCCGTGTACCTGTTCCTTTTCCCCTTCTACTAGTGCGAGACACCGTGTTTTTATTACCATTTATTTATTTATTTATTCTATTTTATTTATTTATTTTTTTATTTTGCCGATTTCTTTGCACACATGTACAGTGGTCCACCACCGCAGTCACCGTTTCAAATGGAAGAACTACGTGCACGGGGGAACGCCTTGTTTTCAAGTGACCCACGTGTTGCGGCAGTCTTGTATCAGGAGGCACTTGACGTGTACGAGACACTGGACGATAAATCGGGCGCAGTGGAGGAGTACACAAAGTGTGCCGGCAACGCATTGACGTGTCTCTTTAAGCTACAAGAGTACGACGCATGTGCGACGCTGGCTGAGAAGGTGCTAAAACTTAATCCGTTAATCGCTAAGGCATATGCCTTTATTGGGAGATGCCTGCTGCTGCGACCTGCCCTGACCTTGTCGCACCGTGCGGGGCCACTGCCGTACCTGTGCCGTGCCCTGCACGTGCTGCCGTCCATGTGTGAAGCTCTGTGCCCATTTCTCCACGAGGCGCTCGACCGACTGCTACAAGAGCGTGACATGCCGCGCAACAGGGAGCCTTGTGTTGAGGTGCGACAGGGAGAGTGTGGAAAGTGTGTCGTGGCTGCTTCTGAGTTGCCTCCTCTATTGGCGGTGAGCTCCACGCTGCATCCGTTTTCAGTGTGTTCGTATGAGGAAACGGCGGGTAAAGGCCTGTGTGCACACTGTGGCGTGGTCCTCCTGTCTGATGATGTCGAGGAGCTCACCGCGCCGCTGCACGTCTGCAGCCAGTGTCAACTCGTATCGTACTGCTCTGACGCCTGTGCCACTAGCCATGGCCACCAGCACGAGGCATACGAATGTCGACTGTTTACTCGGCTGCGGGAGATGCTGCGGGTGATGCGGACTTGTGATGCGGAGGAGCCGGCCGACTTTTTCGCTGTCGCCACGCACTGCATCACCACCGTGAGTGGGCTGAAGGTGTGCAAGGAGGGGCATGCGGCGGTGCTTCAGCTGGAGGACCACGCGGTTGAGGCGTCGCAGAGGCTGACGCTGCTTGTGCGTCTCGTCCAGGATTTGTTTAGTGAAGAGGACCCCACGTTTGTCACCCGCATTATTGGTGCCGTGCGCTGCAATGCGCTTGAGGTCTGCGATGCCTCCGGCCTTCCGGTGGGTCAGGCACTGCACGCGGCGAACATCACGTCTTACTTTAACCACTCGTGTGCGCCAAACTGTGCGATGGAGGCCGGCGCGATCGTCACCACGCGCACTATCAGCCCAGGCGAGGAGCTCACTATCTCCTACTTGCCGCAACTCTACTGGCCAGCGTGGCTGCGACGCGAAGAGCTGATCGAGCGGTACTTCTTTGACTGCCGATGTGTGCGCTGCGGTGAAGGGGACCACAACCCGTTCGAAGCGGCGTTGGTGGCGACGCTTCGCTCGGACAGCCGAGAGAAAGAGCGTGAGTACGTGTGCTCCGTGCAGCTTCTCTGCAGCCGTGTGCGTGCCAAGAGTGTGAGCGAGGTGGGCGTGGCGGATCGCGACGCGCTACTCCGTCTTTTGCAGGACTGTTGCCAGCACCTTTTTCCGTTTCATTACCTCTGCCATGAACTGCGCAACACGCTAAGCTTCGTGTACGCGGTGCTCGATGACCCACTTGCGTGCTTGTGCAGTTGTCTGACAGAGTTGGTGCTGTGGGAGGCTATTGTGCCTGGCGCTCACCCAGTGAAGCGGCTAAAGGTGCAGAACGCGCTACGCTGTTGCGTGGATAATGTTGGTGGCGACGACGCACGGATAAATGAGACAGGCGGCAGCAGCGGCAGCAAGAGTGATGGGAATGACGAGCCAATGCTTCTTCTGCGGCCGCTTTTAATGAAATTTGCCACGCTATACGACGTTGTCTGCTGAATCGCCGATGCCGTCACGACACCGCGATGTGGGTGTTTTTGTCTGTTTTCCTAACACACATGCACGCTTTTTGGCCTCTATTCCCCGCCTTGTGCGTCTTCCTCACAGTACACTTTTGGGTGCCCGTACTTGACGCCGTTGCCTTTTGTTGTTGTGTTGGCCATGCCTGTACTCTTTTTTTTTTCTTTCTTTCTCACCTTTTGTTTTATTTTACTTCTCTTTGGTGCTCGTCCCGTCGCCTTACAATGGGACGTGGTAATCGATATCATTTCCAGCGGATTGTGCGAGGCGTATGGCGACGGGAGGAGACCAGCAAGCGCGGCCGGCGAGCTTAGCAGCGGTGCATTCTCTGCCCGTTAAGACGACATTTCGGGGCACAACGGACGTTGTAGAGAACTTCTCGCGGCACATTGTGCGCACGGAGGGTGGGGAGCTGCGCAACCGACTGCGTGGTCGCACACTCATTGGCCGAGAGGTCATTTTGCCGCCGTCTTACGTTCTTGCGTGCGTGAGTTTTGTGCCGCGGCGGCAGCAGCAGCAGCAGGGGACGGAAGCGGCTGGGCGTTTGGCCTTCTCGGCGCCGCCGTCGGCTCAGATGGAGGCCTCGGCCGCGGACGTTCGCGTTACCGCCACTGCGGATAGCCTTTGTGTTTGGGAGCACGACAAACCGCCCGAGCGTGCGGAGGCGCTGGGGCATTGGCTAGAACTTTCCCATGCCATACACTGTGCTCCATAAGCCCTCAGTGCCCTCACCGCCACCATGGAGGTGGGAGAGCGGCGGCGGTGTTCTGCTGGTCAGGTGTGACGATGATGGTGTTGGATGAGGCGTGTCTGTGTGTGCCGGGTTTTTGTGGCGGAGGGAAAAAAACAACAACAACATTTGTGATGTGTTTTTTTTCTTCTTTTTCTTTGTCCTTCTTGTCGTTGTGGTGCCGTGCTCATGCCGCACACATGGCCTTGTTTCTCTCACTTTTTCCTCTCTGCCTGCAGGGTCTGCTACAGAGATGGGTGGCCAACACCATGCGAGGGATCTGCAGGAGGCATTAGAGGCCAGCCGGCCGTATGAGCTTTTGAGTGAGCCGCTGCGGCACTGCGTGTCGCTGCCGGCGTACAGGCAGCACAGTGTGCACTTTGCTGCGATGCGGTACCACAGCTATCAACGCCTCCCCGACTATTTGCGTGCCGGCATGACGGAGCAGAGCTACTACAAGATCCTCGTTACTCACCTGCAGGAGAAGCTTCAGCTGTACCCATACGTGCATATACGCAAAGTTGTTCAATACACGCGGGAGACACCGCTCAGCTACTACACTACGATGATTGCGGAACTGCTCAAGGCAGAGCGCAGCTACGACACACTACCCAACTTCACCGCGGTGGATGTGCTGAACAGCGTTGGGATAGGGCGGAATCAGTACCTTGAGGTGACGAAGGAGGTGCGAAGCAAACTTCGGTGGCACATCAACAGGCAGTTTGTGCGGACTTACCTGCCGTCTGCGCTGCTCCCGTCGGTTACGCTTCCACCGTTTTGGGGTGTCTTTGCCGTGGACATACCGGCGGAGGCAGTCAAGAAGGCCGCTCTCAGAAACGACGAGGCCGCATTGCACCGTCACCTTCTCAAGCTACAAACTGACAAGGACGGCAGTAATCATAGCAGCAATGAGGGGTGCTGCTTCGCATGTGAGTTTCCCCACGACTCTATCCACGCGTTGTACCACAAGGGATTTGTGTGTGCGACATTCTCGGTGGCGCCGGAGGATCAAATTGTTGTGCCGCCACTGGAGCGCTTTGTCATGAATCGCACCTCCGACGACCCCACGGAGGTGTTGCTGTACAAGGTTCTTGTCACTGCTGACAATCGCACCTCGCTGAGTTTTCTTGCGCAACTCCTGATGCTCGACGAGGCGGACATCTGCGCGGCGGCTCAAGTGCACATTCGCCTCGGCCTTGCGCAGCTGAAAACAGTGCACATTCCAGAGGAAATATTAGACTCCATGGAACGCGTGCATAATACATGGCGAGGTGTTGTGCAAGAGCTCGTTTCAGAGGCCTCCGCGGCGTTAGTTACTACAGGCGTTGCGTCATCCTCATCACTGACCGCAGAGGTCTTGGGGGCGGAGGGAAACAGAAGTAGGGGCGCGCGCGCCAACAGCAGGAGTCACCCACCAAGGCGCATAGCGCTCATGTACGATGCCAGTCTTACTGGGTTTCTCATGACAAATTTGAGTGCCGACCCAACCTTTACACAACATGCCGTGACGCTCTTTGAGGTGGGAAAACTATCAGAAGAGATGATTGGGAGTTTTATCGAGAAACTGGAGAAGGTGGATCTCCAAAAGGAGCACTACCTTGGCGACGAGGCTGTGAAGTATATGCATACTGTGCAGGGTTTACGCGAAGTACTCAAGACGCTGCGGCGTGTGGTAGGGCAGGATAAGGAGTCCGGCGTGGATATGCTCAAGGTGGAATCCATGAATGAGCTGGAACCCACAACTCGGTATTCCGTTCTGGGAAGAAATTACTGGGCATACTTTGTGACCTCCCCGGTCTCGTATGCTCCACTCATTGATGTCGCACTCAATGGTGTGTATGGCAGCACGGTGAGTCTGATGCCGTCGCCCTGGATGACGTTGTACCTCTATAGCAAAATGGGTACTGGGCCACCCTCATTGTTGCTGCCTGTGGGGGCGCGTCTCGCGGCATGGCCGCCGCTGCTGCAGGACACGGAAAAAAGTATCTCCAGGCTGCGTCTGCAGCCGCTTACGATGGATGCAGAAGTTACATATGTGGAGGCTGCCACATCAATTATTTTGGTGAATGAAATGACGGCCATGGCACCCATTTTGGTGCAGCGTGTGGAGGATGTACCGCTGGAACGTGAGGTGGAGGACATATTTTTGGTGGAGTTACCCATGCATACCTCTGTGGACGTCATGGTGCCCTTTACCGCCTCAGATGCCGAGGCCGTGGCGTTGCTGCGCTCAGCTGTGATGCAGCGGTCTCAGGCAGCCGCAGTTTACTTTGTTGGTTCCGACGTGAAGGATGAGGTGGTGACCCTGGCGCGGTTTCTGGACAAGCTTCACCTGGCTGTGGAGGTGATGCACCTGGAGGACTCCGTTGGCCATCTGACCTTCCACGTCTCCCTTAGCGAGGTGAGCGGCGAGGGGGTGACGGCGGAACGAGCACCATCGACGCCAACGATGACACTGACTGACGCCGTGGCGTCCCCAGTTTCAGCAACAGCGCTGCCACACGTCAAGGCGGCGTTGTGTTACTTGTTGGGCAGCGTACACATAACCGACATCGGCCTGGGAATACCCGTGACGAGCCCGGACTGCTGCGCCGTCATGGTGCGCCACCTGGAGGCGCTGCTGGGTGAGACGCGTAGCGAGCACCACAACAACGCGATGCGGGAGCTCGCAGCCGACTTTGGTCTCTTTTTGAGCTCCTACTCGCCGCTGACTTTAGTGGCCCGGGAAAAAATGGCGCTTCAGTCCACTGCGGTGGCTGGCCCCTCCGCGCAGCTGCATGTCCGGCGGCTGGGCGCGGACGGCAACGGCGGCGTGCCGTTTCCGAGCGCCATGATTTTATTCGACGGGGAGCGCCTCTCTGTTGTGGATGAATGGGACCCTCTTGTGGAGTTGTGGCAGGTGTAATCACTGCCGCGTACCTGCACCGCCCCCCCCCCCCCCTCCCCACACACACACTACACCTCTTTCTTTCTTTCTTTCTTTCTTTCTTTGTGTGTATGTGTATGTGTTTGCGAAAACGCCGCGTTGCCCGGGTGTGAGCTGCCAAGTCTGTAAATACGAAGCGAGGCAGTAGCAAAAGGGTCGGCAGCCACCACGGCGCTGTCTTTGTCGTTGCGCGTGTGCTTGACATGGCGGCTCGTTTTATTCTCCTTGAGTTTCTCGCTTCTTCGTGTGGTGATGCGGCTTTCACCACGCGCCTGCAGGAAATAAACATACATAAACGCAAAATAACAAACAGAAGCAACAACAACAAAAAAGAACAAACACACACGCACGGATCCATCCATTCATCATTTTAGTATCTGTCATGTCGCATGAGGCGTTTCGTCTGACGGAACTTAAAAAGAAGCTGCCATACAAGATTGAGAGCATCGCTACTGTTCGCAACCTCTTCTTCGTGGGCACAAACGACGGCAAACTGATCGTGTACGAAGTGTCTCTCCAGGACCATGACGCCCAGTGTGTCTACATTCACTCCTCGAAGCACAAGCAGCCCATCCGCATGATTATCCCCATTGCGGAGGAGGAGATTCTGCTCCTGGTTGTGGGCGACGTGATTTCGGTGCACCAGTTGAATCACATGACCTCCGCCCAGCTAGACTGTCTGCCAGAGGACCGCTTGCCTGAGCTACATACGGTCAAGGGAACCAAGGATGTCGTTGCACTTCACCTGAAGCGGCAACGGGGCACCTTTTACATGGCGGTGCTGCAGCGCAAAAAGATTACAGTTTACGCGTACAGGCAGCAGCTAAAGGAATTTGTGATAGTGAACGATGGCCTGCTGCTACCAGATGGGGCCAAAGCAGTTCTTTGGGTGGGGAAGAATCTCATGATTGGATTCCGCCGGGAGTACGTCCTCATGCAAGTCGCGAATGGTGTCACAGACTGCCTGTACCCCACAGGCAAGAGCGGCACTCCGCTGCTCCTTTCCCTCGACCCGGTGCCAGAGGTGCTTGTAGGCGAGGAAACCACTGGCGTGCGTGCGCTGCATGACGGCAGCCGTGTGCCGGGAAAGAACGGGATGCCGTGGTCGTCGATCCCCACCAGCGCGGCATACATTCACCCCTTTCTCCTCACTATACATAGCGGCGGCAACTGCATTGAGGTGCGACTGCCCTTCTTTACCGACAACGTGAAGGCGGCAGATGCTGAGCTGTGGCAAAGCATCAGCCTCAAGTGCGCCGACCGTATTTCGCAGCGCCCCTTTGCCGACTTTGACGCCAATTTGCCAAAAGAGACAACACCCCCCGATACATTGAGGAAGGACATCACGATTGTGGTTAATAGTAGCAACACCGTGTATTTGCTCGAGCTTGTGCCTATTCGGGAGCAGGTCCTCGCGCTAGCCTCTGTGGACTGTGTCGAGGCGGGTCTGCTTCTCTGCCAGCTGTGCACCAATGAGGTGGATCAGGTGACGGTGGGTAGCCTCAAGACTCAGTTTGCGCTGTGGAGCTTCAATACGAAAAAGGACTTCAAGACAGCCATGCTGCGCTTCCGCGACGCCAACGTTGACCCACTCCTCGTCATCTATCTCTTCCCGGGCTTTCTCACACAACGCGCGCAGGCGGAGTGGCAGCCACCACAGGCACATACTCACCCTCTAGAAACAACGGAGCTCGCCCAGCACATGCCGAATGCCCTCGCGGCATTTCTTGACTATGCGGTGCCACTGCGCCGGGAGTATGCGACGGTGGAAACCGAAATGCTTGCAGAGGCCATTGACACCGCAATTCTGAAGGCATACGTGATCCTTGGAGACGAACCGCAGCTGCTTTCATTTCTTGCCGAAGGGAACGCGTGCTCACTCGCAGAGTCAGAGGTGTTTCTGGCGGAAAGTGAACAGTGGGTGGCGTTAGTGATGCTCTGGTACAGCCACCGGCAACACCATAAAAGTCTCGCTCTGCTTCAAGCACTTGGCACGACGGGAGAACGCATCTCGCTGAAATCTCTTCTATCAACATCATCTTCTTGGGTTGGACTTTCCTTTGACGCGGCGTTCTCGCGTATCCTTCAGCCGCTACTGGTGAAAGCACTTGGAGACTCTGGCAGCATGCTTGTCGCTCCTAGTGAGGGTGGAAAAACGGATTTCATACCGCAAACTGTTATGGCGCAGCTTCTTGCTGAGGTTGCCGTGGATGTGGAGCCGTCGCAGCAAACGTATCTGCTGCGGCGCTGTGTAGGCGTGGTGGTGACGATACTATACATGCGGTTGCTCTCGTGGGAGGAGCGGGAGAGTATGGCGTTGGTGGAGCAATATTCTCCGTGGATTCTTGCCAATGTCTCTCCGCGGTGGTCAGTTAGGATGTTTGCAGGGGTAGGCCTTCAACCAAAGGACTACGCCGCCGTGCTGCGTATTATCGGCAGCGATATGAGTGACATTGGCGCAACGCAGCCTTATGAGCGTGTTGTTGAGTGGCTTTCTTTTATCTTTGCGGACACCTGCAACGTGTCTACAGACGCCTCCCTGCACGACGCTTATTTTCAAAGCCTGATGCAGCTTGTGCTGTCACCGTCTTGCGCGACGGCAGCGACGGCGGAGGAGGAGCAATGGACGGCAACAGGGCGCCAACGTCTAGAAAAATTCCTGCGGTCGTCTCACCACATAGACCTGACGCGGGTGCAAGCTGTTTTGGAGCAGCCGGAGGTGCGCGGGCTGATGTATGCGGAGCGTGCCATCATTTATTATCGGCTCAAACGGCACGAAGAGGCTATCCGTATGTTTCTGTACGAGGCGCAGCAACTGCAGGCGGCGCAGGACTACGCGACGCGTGTGGGCCGTGATGGGCAGGATGGCTTTCAGATTCTTCTGCACCTTCTGCTCAGCCCGGGTGACGGGTGTACCGGACCGCGGCTGAGTGACGCCCTCACCATCGTCAACACCTGCGATGAGGTGAACCCGTTCACGGCGCTGCCAATGCTGCCAGCCGACACCCCGCTTGCCCCAATTGCGGGGTTTGTGAAACGATCGCTCCGCGATGCATCAGCACGGAGCCGCAACGCCGCCATCCGCGCCAGTGTACTTGAGGCCCGTATACGACAGGCGGAACTGAAACTTGCACGTGAGCGTGCACTGCAGGTTGTGCTGGATCTTGGCAGCAGCTGCGTTGTATGCGGGAAGAAGCTGCGCCCGGACGTTGTTTTTGCGCGGTTTCCAAACGACGTCGTGGTGCACCAGGCGTGTATGGAGGATGAACACATTTGCCCCGTCACGTACAAGGACTTTCGTCTCGGCATTGAGCCCGTCGCTCGGGGCACCCTTTAATGGTGTGCACTTCCCCTCTTTTTTTTTTTTGTACAAAAAAAAAAGTCGTCTGTCTGTCTTACATGTTCCGCAGGGCGAGACGTGTGCGTGTGCCTGAGTACAACACAAAATGAAGAATGACGTCAAAACGCCTTTGCTGTGAGTGGCTGGGACGTGATGTACGCGCTTTTTTTTTTTGTTTCACTTTGCTCCTTACTTTATTTTTGTTTTTGTGCTTGTTTGCGTGATCTGCCTGGTTGCGTGTGCTCCCGCAGCTTTTGATTCGATGCTGTTTCTTTTCCCCTTGCTTTATTGGCTGCTGCTGCTGCTCTCTTGTTGAACGCCGGCCGCAGGGTAGAGGGGATGGCGTCTTTCTTCGGTTCCATCGTGAAGTCCATCATTTTGCCGAAGCCCATCCCGAGCTACGACACGAGCGACCACCTTGGCAAGCTGCTTCACATCCCGCGGGTGGACTGGCGAACGCGAAAGGAGAATGGCAGCTTCACCTACGGGCTTCTGCTGCTTGACTCGACTGCGAAGTACATTGTCATTTATGCTCACACGAATGCCGTCGACATGGCCATGATGGTGGGCGAGCTTTCGTACTTTAGTAAGCGTGCCTCCGCCTCGGTGCTGCTCTTCGAGTACACCGGATACGGCATCTCACACGGCGACACAACGGAAACATCCATGAAGGAGGATATGCTTTCGGCGTACTGCTACGTCGCTCGCCAGCTGCGAGTGCCACCCAACCGAATTGTGCTCATGGGTCGTTCCATTGGAACGGGTCCTGCCGCACAGCTGTGCGCGGAGTTGCAGGAGGAGAGCGAGGTCCCTGCCTTGCTGGTGTTGCAGTCCCCGTTTACGTCGCTAAAGGAGTGCGCCAACGAGATTACGCGAAATGTCGGCTCCATTGTGAGCTTTCTAGGTTACGACTGGTTTCGCACCATCGATGTGATTGCGCAGGTTCGTTGCCCAGTGATTATTCAGCACGGTGTTCTTGACGACGTGGTACCGTTCGAACACGCCGAGCGACTGAAGCGCGCCATTGAGGATGCCGAGACTCCCGGATTAGTTGAACTGTACATGGAGAAAGTATGCAAGCACAATGATCTTCCCATAGCAAGCATGGCACGTATCGTTGACAGGAAGTTGCGAGGGTTTGGAAAGGAGCGGTGCCTCCAGATCAGATGTCGAGCTTACTTGACTGTAAACCCACCCATCTATGAGTATCTTTTTTGCAACAACGGGAAGCGAATTGCAACGTTGGATGCCTTGCTGCAGCACTGGAATGAGACGCTAGCAATCGGCTTATTCGCCTACAGACGAGAAAAGTTGTACATTCTGCTTGTTGCCAGCGTGGCACTCTTTGCGATGCGGTGCGCGCAGGTGTGGCAGTGCTACACGGGGAACTGGAAGCGGCAGCACAGCGGGGAGGGGGGCGGTGATGGCTCTCACTGCAGCAAGGAGGACATCATCAACCGGTACTTGGGCTGCTGCGGAAGTCCGCTCGGCGTCTTCCTTGGGGTAGAGGGCACACCGCCGCTACACAAGTTTTTCGGCGTCAATGTGGCGGCAGGGGCAACACAGGGAGGGGATAGTAACGCTACCGCTGCATGCATGGTCTACGAGGACCAGACCACGTACTTAAGTGTGGCAGAGTTGGAGTTTACACCTGGCCTGATGAAGAGTGTTGTTGCAGCGATCTCCACAGCTCCCACCCTCACCGACGCAGCGGGGTCAGGGACACAGGTTTTTCTTCAGCAGTGTGTCGTGACACGAATACAGACCGAGTGTGAACGCCTGGTGGCCTTTCTTGACGACGGCGAGTGGAATAATTTGCTTTTTCTACTGCTCAACTTTGACGCGACGGCTGCCACGTACCTAAGCAGCAAAGCACTGCACTTCTACAATGAATTTACCTCCCCGGTGGGTGGTGCGGGTAAGCCGCACGAAAACAAGGAGTCCATCTCGGATGTTAAGGAGTGGCTGCAGCCATGGATTGCGACCCCGAACGCACAGACCTGCCTCGGCGGGGAGGTGCCGTGGGATTACTACCTGTTTAAGGCACGCGTGTGTGTGCAGGAGGACTATCAGCTGCGGCCATACATGTGCTGGGCGGAGGCAAAACGCGTTATGGACGCCTGGCTGGTGGTGGCGGAAATCTACCGCTTATTTACGACGCACTCGCGTCGCTGTCTTCGTCCCGCGTTTACTTACACCTGAGGCGGCAACAACGGAGTGGCAGCAGAGAAGAAGGAAGTGGAGTGAAGCAAAAAAGGGAAAAAGTGGAATAAAGAGACTCTAAATGGGAAACAGCTTGTAGGCCACATCTATGGCTTTTCTTGCGCGGTGGTAGTGATGTGGGCTCTACGAGTATTATTATTATTATTATTATTATTTTTTCGTTTTGCTTCTCTCTCACACACCCCCCCCTTCGCCCTCGCCCTATACGAACTCACCTCTTTTTTTTTTTTTTTTTGGGGGTTTCTATCCTTTTGCTTTTTTGTGACCGTCACTGTCACCGTGGCCGCAGCCGCAGCGGCGTTTCTGGGTATTCCCTCCTTGAAGTGGGTGAGGCGGAGTGTGACATGCAGAAGCTGGGGGGCGGCAGCGGGCAAAGTCCCTCCCAACTCTCGAGCTCGCTTTCTCTACAGGCAGAGCCGGCATCCGTGAAAACGTTTGTTGCACGAGCTGTCGAGCTGCTTGCCAGCGCACGAGAAGACGGCGGATTTTCTGGAACGCTGCGGTACTATGACCTGCGACTGCTGTTGCAGCGGCTTGGCTGTGTCTGGGATCTAGAGCGCCTGGACGACTGCTGGTATGATATGGTGCGAGGCCGGCCGGCGTCTGTCGTGGAGGACATGCCGTGGGCAGCGCAGTGCATTTATGAACACCTGCGCGGCGACCGTGTGGAGTTTCCTGCACGAACCCCGAGTACACAGTTGTGTGGAGACGTACGTGCGTTGACATCGCAACGAGATGAACCCGATGACCTCGCTGCAGAGGCTGACGTTTCCCAACCCGATCCGCTGCATACACGGTCCTCACAACTGCAGGTGCCGATGCCAACACACGACCCAGAGAAACAGCCAGAGAAGTCACAGGAGGCGGTTCCTTCGCGGCAGCAGCAGGGCCTTTCAGCAAAGAAGCGCCATCCCACCATAACACGAGAAACGCGTTTTGCATCGCCAACCTTGTCGAGTGTGCGACGGGACCGTCCGACCTCCGTGCCAGCGCGGCGAAAACAGGCGGGGGAGGCTTCTCCCAGGCGCAGACGCACATCGCCACTCAATGCGGCAACCGCGGAGGTTTTCCGCCGGCTTATAGAAGATGCCGACAGAAGGCGAAGGCGGGCGTCGCCGCCGACGCCGACTTTGACGTTACCAGTGGCAGAAACACGAGGAGGAATGGTGACGCCAGCCAAGGCGCAGACGGGGCCCGCGGATCGGTTGCCCTCGGCGACGCGGATTTCCCGGCACCCTTCACAGACGGGTCAGAACTGGAACAAACCGACAAAGTCCTACGTTGCAAAGCTAGCCCCTGAGCCGGCCTCTGTGGATTGTCTGGAGGCTGCGGCACCCACTCCCTATGTGGAGAGGCGGGAGCCACTTGGACCCTCAACGTACGTGCCATCAGGTTACGTGGAGGCGGTGGCGCGGCTACGACGCTTCGCTGCATCTCGAAACCATCTTAAATTTGTAGATTCTTTGCGTGCCACAACGCCAGTTTCCGCCGCGACGGGAGCGGCAGTGGAACGGGCACCTATCCTGCGGCTGCCCGTCTCTGACAGTGTTGAGGGAAGAACATGTACCGTTGACGTCCGTCTGGCGGCGCCTGTTCGTTCCCACCGTCTTATGGTTCCACAAGATGTGCCGTATGATGACCCATCGCGGGTGCTCATTAAAAATTTTCTCAGCGGATGTCGTGTGAGGTCCGGTGGATAGAGGCGAGAGGATGCGGCATTGATCCTGATTCTCGTACGACCCAAAACTGAATTCCTTCAGCGACAGGGACGGGTGTTACGGCTATAGTTATTTTGTCCCATTTGTGAGGTGACTGCACGTGCTGTTTCTCGCTAGATATGTTTTTTTTTTTGTTGTTGTGTTCCTCTCTCTCACTCTGTCTTTTGCCTGGTGCGCCCATAGACACAGGCTCACTGCGAGCACGTCAACCGACTCCCATGCACCGGTCGGCACGTGGGTTACTCAAACGGGACTTTGATGCATGGGCGTACAACATTAGGTGGCCGCAGCGGAAGTCCTTTTTGCCGCTGCTGGGAGTCGCAAGCCTGACGGTGGAGGATATTAAATTTGCGTACAATGCTTGGTGCCTTCTGCGCCTCGCCATGTTTTTCGGCACCGGGCACCCAAAAATTCTGAGTCCGCTGGTGAACACCACCCCCTCAATGGATATAATGTACGGTGGGAACCGCCTTTTTTACATGCACGCCGACGTGGGAGCGCCGCTGTCGCACCGGAAGCCCAAAGTCGCCCTCACCCCCTGCTACCCTAATGCATGGCCGCTGCAGAGTTTTCCGTGGCGAAGCATTTTTTCTGCAGCGGGCAGTAGACGCACGCAAGACGATGCAATGGACGTTGGCGTGGAAATTGTGCTCGGGATGGAAAATGGACTGTCTGCGAGCGTCGTTGCGGAGTGTGACTACTGCCTGTATATTCCGCAGTACGGATCGATTGGGTCGCTATCGATGATGTCGGCCATGGCGATTGCTTTGCATTCTGCAGCCAGCGCTCACAATAACACACACACTGGTGATGAAGAAGAATCCCTTCCCGTTGCGTTGCGGGGCCATATGCCACAAAGTCACGGTGCCTCCAACGAGACGCAGCAGAAGGACCTTCCGCACGAAAAAAACCTCCTTTCGCTTTCCAACGCGGAAATTGTGGCTCTGCTCGGGGCGAGGCGTTTGTCCTATCCCATGCAGCTGTCCGTTATGGTGCACAATGAGTTTGGTGACCGGAACATTGGTGCAATAATGCGCAACGCGAATGCGTTTAATTGCGAGCAGATGATTGTGTTAAACCGACGGAAATTTAACCGACGCGGGGCTGTCGGTACGCAGCATCTGCTACAGACGACATTTTACCCGGCGATAGACGATATCGGTTGCCAGCAATCGCTCGCCGGGTACACGATTTGGCTGCTCTACCAGTACTATCCCTACCTCAAGATGTATGAGGACACCAACGACGACGGCGGAGCCACTTTTATTCGGCCCGGAAGGCCGGTCTTTCAGGCCTGGTTCCAGGGCAACCACAGACTGAATCAGGAGCATCCAATGATGGGGTGCCATGCCTCACATCTGAGAGGAAAAGAGGTATACCTGGATAACTTTGATTCCGTGTGTTCGGCTGTTAGGGACGCCTCAAACGAGGGCTACCGTGGGATCATGTTGGCCGTTCCAGAGGAGGGGGCCTCGTTTCCTTGCGACATTGTGCGGCATGCGCAACGAATTGCATACGTTGTGCATCCGGACCGTCTTGCGAGGGAGGTTCAACGTGGTCTCAACGGGGCACTTTCCTCCGCAATTGCACTAGAGAGATTAAGAACCGCGGTGGACTGCCTATAGCGGTACCTACGCTGCCAAGCTATCGTTCCAGCTCATACACTACGCTTCTTGTTTTTGCAGTCATACTGCGTGTTTACGTTGCCCCTGTGGCAATGCTTCGGTGTAAGTGAGTTGCGGCAGGGAGAAGCACTGCGGGGCAAATGATGGCGATATGGGGACTCAACTGTGGTTTCGGGCAGCATTCATTGTGTTGCTCCTTTTCTTTTAACCTGCCTGCTTCTTTCTTACATTTCTCTCACACACACACGGGAGGAAAGAGACCAAACACTACTTGCTGCTGTGCACATTGAAAGGCTCTGCAGTCACCACCAGCACCACACACACACACACAAACGCACACAAACGCACACACACACAAACGCACACACACACAATTGTTGCGGCCTGAGCGGATCCACCGCAAGGAGGGAAGGGAGACAGTGAGTGAGAGTAACACATGCTCAACATGTCCCGGCACATGTTTTTGTATTCGGTGCTGCTCCTTCTCTGCGCGCTGTTGGTGTGCTGCGGCGGTACGGCTGTGCATGCCGAGAAGAGAAGTACGCCAAAGGAAACGCAAACACCAGAGGCTGTTGATTTTTTTGTGCCGTATCGAACGATTGTGGAAACAAGTGCTGGAAGTGGAACGAGGGTCTTCTTTGTCTCACCTTCTCTCGTCAGTGCTGGTGGAGTTTTGGTTGCGCTTGCCAAGACCCAGGCCAGAGCTCTATCCTCCGATAAATATCGTACTTCGATCGTTTATGCTGATGTTGTGGCGGGGTACATTGACCCTGCGGAGAACTGGTCGTCTTTTGTTGCTGAGGTCA